TTGGAAAAGTAAAACATTTGGAAATCTACTGTGACTCGGACTAACTCCCATTATCATGACGTATTGAAAAATTGTTATCTATCCCTCAATCCTATGTTTGCAAACAAACGTATTCTGCATGAAAACATCAAAATTGAATTGCGTCAAAGTTTAGTGATTTCTACAATGTTATATGGCTTATCTATCAATTACCCTTGTCGGTCGTCTATTAACGCAACACGTTTGCAGATGATGCCGAAGGTTTATCAAGTACTTAAGAATATTTGATCGAGTATCACATTTATATCGCAATCTAGCATGGCTAAACGTTCAAGATCTTTTCAAATGCTAACAGTTGCTCACAGGATCGTGCTAACATCATCCCCTCAATACCTCAGTTCTAAACTTGTTCCAGTGCGCGTCGGTGCATAATCTTCAGATTCGTTACCGTTACACCTTAGCCATGCCAATACATCGCACAACGCTCTTCAGAAGATCTTTTACTTACAATGCAATAATAATATAGAACAGTTTAGGCCAGGAAAGACTATCCAGTCATCCCGGAGTATTAGAAAAACAGTTAAAAATTACAATTACAAGAATTACAGAACAACCGCTAGCCTAAGAAGTTCTTTCGTTTTCATACTTTGCATTTTTGATCAGTGACCTTTCCGGTTCTTTATAACATACTGTTAACTCTTTTCATTTTTATAAGTAAATCGGCATTGATTTGTATTTTGGCTTAATCCTCTTATTTTTACATTTTTTTATATAACTCGTTACTTTTGTACGGGGTTAGATGGTGAAAAGACAATTGTTATTATTATTAATTTATTTAGGGTTTGAATCATCTTGGATATAAGAAATTTATATCGTAGCATCCACTTTCAATCCTTTACATTCATAACACCCTACACAGCCCTCAGTTTTCAACCTCTGTCTCTGAAACGTCAAAACACGAAGTTTGAGAGATTTTAATACTTTTTTTGCCCATAGCTCCGCGATTCTCAATATCTAGACAGCTTTTTCCTTCTTGACATAGCAGCAACATGTTATCAAAATTTCACTTTTTGTTTAAAAAAACGAATTCACCATTAGAAATGTTGTGTTCTTAAAGCTATTTTCCTACATAGGCGCCATTTTTTCTACGCATTTCTTTTTTTAGACTTGTGATCAACTTTTGTACTCTCATCTCACTTCAAGGAAGTCTGCCACCAGCCCGTTTAGAAATTTGGAAACTGCTCCTTGCAACTCCTCGTCCGTCTCGACCGTTGACCGCCTTGGTGCTCCTTCAATTTCGGAAACGCGATGTCAGTGTTGTAAGGGGATGGGCAATTACTTTCCAGCCAAATCGCTCCATTAAGTCCTTCGTTTGTTGTGAGATATGCGAATGCGCATTGTCGCGGGGCAGTCTTACGCTTTGATTAGTTTTCACAAACTACGATTTTGAATTACTCATCTCAGCTTAGAAGCCACAGGAATTCCAACCGCTACAACTTCCTCGTAGATCGACGGGCTCCCGTTTCGTTGTTCATCGTGGATGTCGGTGAGGCCGTCAAAGAACTCTTTCCAGCATTTGACGTTTTTACGTGCAAAAATCGGATGACGCATGAATTTCACACCTGGGGCCTGATTCTAAATGAGTTTCGAGCGTTGAAATTAATTTCGATGGCGCCTTGTGACTATATACTTGATTCGCTATAATAATTTTGATATCTGCTTATATCGATCTTCTATATTCAAATTATCGCGGCATTGTGAAGACTATCATAGCGAATCAAGAATATTGTCACAAGGCGCTATCGAGATTAATTTCAATGGTCGAAACTCATTTAAAGTCAGTCCCGTGGCGGTGACGGCGATGAAGGGCTCCATTGCGCATGGCTGTCTGGCTGGTAGTGAGCGTTAGAAATAGGCGCTTGTTGTGAGGGGGGAGCCGACAAACACGACGGTGTTGCTAAATTTCGCCAAGCATTACGCACGGCAAAGTTACAGCGTTGGGAACACAATTTTTGAAACAATCCTCGTAGCTGTTGAGTGGCCAATGATTAGCGAACAGACCGACAGATATACGGAAATGGGTGATATGTTTTTTTGAGACATACATGTCATGTAACATTAAAAAAATGTAATGCCTGATTGTGATTTTTCTTTGCCGTGGGAAGTAAGATAAAGTTTTTTTGATAAATAATTATCTAACGTAGTAGAAATCATAAAACAATGTTGAGCCGAAGAGTATTTTTAGTCTTTTTTGATCTTATCAAACACATTTTGACATCTAATTCTGAAGTAAAAGAAAAAACGATTTCTATTATAATCTATAAACAAAAGTTATCAAATTTCTTTCCATATATTTTTACTCCGTTAAATTTTAAGGGGGACGAAAAAATATATTCCATTATTTTACATATATTTTTCAAATTTTTCGTGAGCTGTTAAATAAATTAAATTCTTTGGTTAATGTAACATATTAAACTTATCTGGCGAATCTCCATGTTTGACAGGGCGCTAGATAAAAACCACAGATGTAAAGCAAATGATCTATTAAAGTTTCTGCAAATGAACTAATAATCAAAAATAGCAATATGTTTTATTTATGTTTTCCAGTTGATAGTGTATTTGCTTTGCACACACAGTGTGTTCCAGTAACTGTCCAAACGGTCCTAACATTGTTTGTTCATTTCTCGTGTAGACTTTGATACTACACAATGCTGTATTTAGTAATTATTGTCAAACTATTTTTTTATATACATAACTATTTATCGATTTTCAATAAGCTATTAGTTTCAAGCATGTGCGAATAAATTGCTTTTTACATAATAAGTTATTGACGTGATAAAATTTAAACAAGTCGTTTACTTCAAATAGATATTTTCGAGTGCCTACTAAATATTAAGGAGACATGACGTATTGAGGAAAAAGGAATATTTCCAGCTTTATGCTTAGTTACTGTGTACATGTAGAAATTAGTGTCTCCTTCCATACGCTTGCTAAATAACCAGGCAAACCCGGGGTCTGACCTCTACCTTTTAATCTAGACGAGATGTGGATAACCATTATATCTCAAACCGTAAAACTGTTTTCAAGAAAATTATAAAAATCTTTATTTATCTTAATTTGTTCAGATAGAAAACAAAAACACACGAAAATATCACTGTTTATCTCAATAAGTGTTCACAATGTTGCCCGTTAGTGTTTTCCGAATCTACAATTCGCGTATAATTCAAAACGGAAACTATCCAACATAAACAGCAATTCGGAAGATTAGACGTGGCAACAACCAAATAACAACCCGAATTTTTTCCGCATTCGTTTCATCAACACAGATATCCTTTGCGAACTGTATTTATTGTTATACCTGTTTAGTTATTTTTTGCTAAGGGAAAGAAAGAATTTAATTTGCTGTCAGTTACCTTTGTGACAATCTTGGGATAGTGAAAATTAATCTATTAATTCAGATTTTACTTCCAAAATGGTTTACATACTAGCCGAAAGAGTGGAAATGATTCTAATTTATGGTGCCCAAAATCAATGAGCGCAAACAGAAGCCTCACTTGGAGCTATGGTGTGAAACTGTTTGTCAACAATGTTTGATAACTGATTATAATAACATACCTTTTGATTCGTACTTATATACTATATACAGGGTATTGCAAATTCGACACTCACCAAATGCGATATCGGAAAATGTAAGAGATACGAAGATGTTTAAATAGGGGCAAATTTGTGTTGTGTGTTCGAAATTCAAAGTACTTCCGGAGAGAGATGGAAAACAACGAATTTTGCCAAAATCGTTTTAATTTTTCCTGACTTTATTTTTCGTCGGATATCAAAATAAATTGTACATCAACATCGCCACTATCTCTCCTCTACAAGATGGCATAATTAAAATTTCAATATGACGTTTCGTCACTTGTCCTCCACCATCAACTTTATTTTTCTTATGGACGCCATACTAGATTTTTTCACCGATGAATATATTCTAATTTTGATTCAGAAAGTGTATAATACGTGATACATTGACATTGCCAAACCTTAGTTATTTAAAAAAAAACACAGAATTTCTAGGCTTTGAAATTATCAGATAGACATTTATTTCTCATACCAGTTTTATCCCAAAATCATTTTCAATTTTCCTGACTATTTGAGATAGAATTCCAAAATTAATTGCATGTTGTCATCGTTACTTACTCTCCTCTACAAAATGACGTAGTCAAATTTTCGATTCCAGATTTAATCTTTCGGGTTCCATCGCACCAAATTCGTTTTTTCATATGCACGCTATATTCGAAATTTGTACATTTAAATGGACTTTTTAGTATTAAATTCAGTGATGTATTTCCTGAGCTGGCCATCAATTTCTGGTTGCATGAAACTTATAAGAAACTAAAAAGGTATAATGAAACTTGAACGCAAAATGAAAATTTTATTGATGGTAATAGCAATAACATAATCAGAGGAAGATGTTCAGAATGTTGTCCGTTATTTTGTAGACAAAGCCTTACACTTCTCTGTACATTGTTCACTGCTTGATTTATTTCCCTTCTTCTCAGTCTCTCAAACTCTGTTCTATGTTCAATTTGAGGTCTGGTCTGGTATACGAAACAAATGACTACCTGATAATTTCAAGGCTTACCTAGGAACTGTTGTTTTCCTGAAATAACTAAGGTTTGGCAATAAGAATGTATGACTAATTATACATTTTTGAAATCAGAATTAACAGCTCTGTGCATTTGCACATAAATCCAATACGGCGTCGATTAAAAAAAGAAAATTGATACTGGTGGGCAAGAGACGAAACGTCATATTGAAATTCTAATTATACCATCTTGTAGAGGAGAAAAAGTGGCAATGTTAATGTGCAATTTATTTGAAAATCCCTCCGGAAGTACTCTGAATTTCGAAACTGTCTAAGCGGCATTTTGTAAGTTACTTGAATACACAACTTTGCCCCCATTCAAGTGACTTCGTATGTCCTACCGTTTTCGGGATCCCAATGGTGAGGGTAGCATTTGAAACATCGGGTAAATAGTTATACTATATAATATTACTCCACAAAATCATGTAACAACATTAAATTACACTCCAAGAATAATGCTCAAGGCACTTCAAAAAGACGTGCCAATATGTCTAGGGTAGAAATTACACCCAAAAACAACAAAACAAATTCTATAAATATGGGACTAAAGATTCTCTCCTACAGAGATACGTGTGTTTTACTTACAAAATCTTTCAAAAATAATATCAACGGAGCAGGTAAAGATACCGAGTTGAAATTTCAGTCGTTCAGTGAGCATCATAAGCAATAAACACAGAGTTTCCCAAACTAAACCAAGAACGTAGAAACTGGGGTACCTGGACCCCTAGTAGGAAATATTTTCCATGCCACTGGCCTTTTGGGAGAAAAAATGCATCTTAAAAAATATCATTCAATTTTCCATAAATTTTGTTCAGCAAGGAATTTTTGTCACATCACTCGTTTTGGGGATATTTAGGTTTAAATATTTGAGGTAAAATCCTAAAATATGATTGAGGATAAGAGGCGCATATAATTCAAACCAAAATATTCTCAAAACGAGTGTTCTGACAAAATATCTCTACGGAAAAAATGTATGAAAGATTGAATTGTATTTTAAAACACTTATTTTCTCCCAAAATGCCAGTGGCGTAGAAAATATTTCCAGGTCCAGTTACCCCAGCTTCTACGTACTTGGTTTAGTTTGGGGCGGCAAACTCTGCATACTTATGATGTGCTCACTGAACGTCTGCAATTTCAACTCAGTGTTTTTACCCGCTACGTAGATATACTTTTTTTCAATTTCAATAATAAAACTTCATCACTCTGTATTGCTGTAGGGGAACATCTTTGGACTTTGGATATTTATAGAAACTTTTGTGTTATTTTTGAAACACTCGGCATACAGATATTGCGCGCACCTCGTATGTGCATATCGCATCACCGAGAGGCCAAGACTAAACATTTTAAAATACTCCTCTAGATATCTAGTTGGATGAAATTGCCGGCGAAGACGGTCAATGTTCTCAATTTATCAAATCACAATTAAGTTATTACTATACAATATTGTCCGATGAACCAGGGATAATATTCATCCTACTTGTATTATTTTACTTTACATGATTCCATTTTAAGAAATAATCAGTGTTGAGGCTGCACTTGGTAGAGGTTGGTAAGACGCTTGTTCATTCTGAAACAATAAACGCAGTAACATCGCAGAAATTTGGAGACCTTCGAAATACGCTATAAGGAGCATAAAATGGAATGTCCGTTCACACACTAAAAGTCATTCCACTATTAATAATATTAAATTTTATTAACTTTTAAACCTTACATTTCTAACTGGGAAATAACTCCCGAATAGCAATCTGAAAACTACTTCTTGGAAAAACTCTTATGTCTGAGATAAAGAGACCCTCATGTATCGAGGCTTTATTCACGAATTAGCAAGCTCAGGATCAATTTTTAACCTTATTATTACCATTTCCAATCCACTAGACTCAATCGTTCGCTAGTCAAGCATTTTCTGGTGTTTCGTCTCCTTTATGCCTAATTTATCACATGATGTGATACATACGGAAACTCATCGAATATACAGGGTGTGTCAAATTCGACCCTCACCATTGGGATCTCCGAAACTGTAAGAGATACGAAGTAGCTTCAATGGGGGCAAATTTGCATATTAAGGTAATCAACAAAATACCGCTTAGTAAGTTTTGAAACTGAGTACTTCCGGAGAGAGACTTCAAAAACCGGAATTTCCCATAATCGGTTTAATATTTTCCTGACTTTATTTGTAGTGGAATTTGAATATAAACTGCTCATCAACATTGCCACTTTTTCCCACCTACAAGATGGCATAACGAGAATTTCAATACGACGTTTCGTCTCTTGTCTTCCGACACCAACTTCATTTTTTCTTATGGACGCATAGGATTTTTGCGCAGGTGAATAGAGTTTTCAATTCTGATTTCAAAAATGTATAGTATGTCGTACACTGACCTTGCCAAACCTTTGGTACTACCAAAAATCAGAAGATCCTAAGTAGGCCTTGAAATTATCAGATTTCATTTGTTTCGTATACCAGACAAGACGTCAAATTGAACATAGCAATTGAGTTTGGAAGGAGAAACAAATGGAGCAGTGAACGATGTACAGAGAAGTCAGGCTTTGCCTACAGAATAACGGACAGCAGCACTTTGATATCTGATATGTTTTACCTCTCCTTATTTATGATTATTATTGTTGTTACCATCATTAGTATTTTCATTTTGTGTTCAGGTTTCACCATACTTTTTTATTTCTTTATAATGTTCATTCAACAACAAATTCATGGCCAACTGAGGAAATACCATCACTCAATTTAGGACTAAAAAGTCCATTTAAATGTACAAAATTCCAATATAGCATCCATATGCAAAAACATGCCATCTTGTAGAGGAGAATAAGTAACAACGACTACATCCAATTTATTTTGAAATTTCATCTCAAATAAAGTGAGGAAAAAATAAAAGTGATTTGGTGATAAATCTGGTAGCGTCCATAACAAAAAATAGAGTTGATGCTGGAGGACAAGAGTCGAAACGTTACATTGAAATTCTTATTATGCCATCTTGTAGAAGAGAAAAAGTGGCATTGTTAATGTGCAATTTATTTTGAGATCCCATCACAAATAAAGTCAGGCAAAAACTAAAACGATATTGGGAAAATTGGGTTTTCTCCGTCTCTATCCGGAAGTACTTTGAATTTCTTTTTAAGCGGCATTTTGTTGATACGCAAACTTTGGCCCCATTTAAGCGACTTCGTATCTCCTACAGTTCCCGAGATCCCAATGGTGAGGGTCGAACTTGAAACACCCTGTATATGGGGTGAGTTTTTGTATTGGCTTTAGAAAAAGAAGTGACTGTGGGTGAAACCGTGGATCGCCCGCCGTGAGTTTGATGGATCTACAATAACTTGGTCCAAGAACTGGCAGTGGAAGATCAGAGAAATTATGTTAAATTTTTTAGAATGGATGAGGATGACACATTTACGAAACCCCATCAGCACTGAGGAGCTGCTCTTGGTGACATTGCGATTTCTAGCTACCGGAAATAGTTACACAAACCTCCAGTACGCCACACACCATCTGTTTTCCCCCCTCTTGACCCAACTATGTAAAATATTTTAGCAAATATAGGATGAAGAGGCTAAATATGATAAGAGAACTTTTATAAAAGTTTCCTTTTATAAAATTTTGTCTATTACACTGTCACATTTCTTTTCTTCTTTTATCAAATATCTTTGTCAAAGAACTTTTATAGTGTAATGCCGGCCTAATACTATTCTGTATAATGATGAAATAAAAATGTTTCTGGGATGGTTGTTTTTTTTTTCAATCAAACAAAAAAGTCAGACATAAAGCGGTTAATGATATTGCTTTTGTAGGATTCTCGGACAAGACACGTTTCTAATAAGATATTAGATTCTTCCCAATTACTATGATTATGAATAGCAATAGAGGATATATATATATATATATATATATATATATATATATATATATATATATATATGTATATATATGATATCAAATTGGCGTGATATGTATCCTTTTTATAATAAAATATCAAATTCGCATTACAATCAAATTGCTGATCTTCTAATCTCAAGACCAAATTTCACGTTTGCAAATACAGCATATTTTCCTTCTCTGGTAATGGTGACTCTCGAAAATCTTATCAAGGGTTCGATATTAACATAATTCATATCCTAGCAATTTGACCAACGCAAAAGAGAATTCACAATACACACTCACAACACAAGTTTTGTGCAATTTATTCAATTTTTAAAAGCAGTGTCGCCTTAAGAATATACTTACATATCAGTTAAATATAAAATATATAGTGTAGCTGGTATAGAAGTAACAAACAGAACATTTATAACAATGTTATGCAAAGACCTTTGTGAGGTTTTGTCATCGGTCTTAATCATTTTTGGAACAATATGTTGCAAAGTATGTACGTCCAAGTGCCAAATCTTAACTACAACAAAAACTAGAGATGAAATTATGGTTTTAAAAACAGATCTTGCTTGAAATCCATTAACAACAGCTAAATAAACCTTCAAGGCGACCTACCTCATATATTCCAAATACCAAAACAATGCTTATTGAAATTAGGTTTTTAGGTAGAATTTAAAATGAGAATGCATTTCGAAATATGAGAAACTGTTGCAACTATCATCGTTCCTCCTGGTGTTGATTACGAAGTTGATATGATCCAATTAAATGCACACAACATAAATACATTGTATGCCCCATTTTATCTCCGATCTCAACGGTTGATGTTGAAGTGCTAGTTTTTATCATTGATTTTCATAGCACCGTGGTTAAAGGATTCAACCCTGTACTTTTTTAGCGAAATAAGTTCCCACATTTGAAGATGATTTCCAAAATTAGCTCATGCGTTAATATTTATCATATTAAGAAAATTATACTCTATTTGAAACAAACTTTATGACGGTAGTTAAGACCCGATAATCCACCGACCCCAGCACTTTTTTTTACCGCATGGAGCTAGTACTCATCAATACCTTACATTTAAAAAGTGGTGCCCAAGTGGCCCTGGAGGAGAGACCCATCTACAAGGTGTTGCATAGCTCGAAGGTGCAAATTCGTGATTTCCTGTTTTGATGTAATCAGACGCTTCTAACAGTTGTCTGTCTTATATTGACTTGAATTTGTGGAAGATAGTATTCTTGTGTTGAATCAGAATCCGACGAACCGCATTTGAACGAACTGCCCAAATTATCCGAGGTTCTTCCAGGATATTTGGAAATACGAAGAAAACAGGATCTGGCCTGAGCAATTTCGACTGCTCCACTTTGTTGCATCGGGATGAAACTCAATTTTCTCTATTTTGCTGTGTTTAAGGTGGTGATTTTGGAGTATTTGGTATTTTTTTAGATTCAGTTTATTATCAGATAAAGCACGAGTGCCTCATATTTGGATATCGACCTTTTACGGGGTACTTACTAGATAATTTGAAAGTACGATGAAAGCGTTTGCTATAAGCGCCCATCCCATTTTTTTTTTGTAACGGAAAGAAACTCGGCATGGAGGAGGTTGATAACCAGTGCCTTACTTTTAAAAAGTGGTGCCCAAGTGGTTCCACTTGAGGTTCGCAGGGTTACATATCTCGCAGAGCTAAATTCGGGAGTTTGTATACCTTGGAGTATATAGATGAAACTGTGATTTTGCAGTATTGTTGCATTTTTTCTATATTATAGTATTCGAGGTCTGTAAATTACGTGATATGACTGGCAACGTAGCGTTCGATCTGGCAACTCTGAAGGCCCCGATCTTGGAGAGTAGGGGGGAGGGGCAGGGAACATGTGATTTGTCTTCAGTACAAGTTTGAGCTCACTCGAGTCATTTGGTTGTCAGTAGCGAGTTTGTTTGTGAAACAGTTTGATGAGTGACATCAATTTCCAGCAAGGGTGTGCTATAAAGTGTTGCTTTAGCCTTATTAATCGTCTGACTTGAGTCCTTGTGACTTTTTTACCCGAAGTTGTAAAATCACCTCAAGAGAACTCATTTTGGGACGTTCAAACGGCTGAAATCGACCAGCTGCAGGATATTCCAGTATCGGAGGGCCAGCACTGATATAAAGATGCAAGAACCAGCGCTAGGTGGCTTCAGAGGGGTGTGATTTTGAGGGGTGACAGTATAAAATTGTAATTATATCTAAATAAAAAACAATTAAAAATCAGTCCCATCGCTTAATTTACAGACCTCGAAATTTCCAAGAAATATGAAAATACGAAAAAAGTAGGATCAATATCGCTTGCATCATTCGACAGAAATAAGTACTGAAAAATGCCTTTTTAGAAAGTATTATCTAAGTGGCACATTTGATGATCTTGGCGGGGACTGCTTATCGCCAAGGCGCGTATCCATGGTTTTCTTCATTTTGACGAATTCTGGTTGCTTCTGCGTGATAATTCACATGTTGATGGGTTATCTACTTTTTCAGGGATATTTGACAATAAGCATAAATAAGCAGAAATATGGTCCATTATCAGTATCTTCTATTATTAGTCGCACGTCATAAGACATAAAAATATCAAAACCTCGGCACCCGGTCCCACTGAATAGATTTTCGTAAAGTATTTTTGATTGCATTGTTATAAATTTAAATGAAAAAGTTTAGCCATCAAAATTGGACGCTCTTCATTATAAAAATGTTTAACAACTAATAATATAGAGTTAATAAAAATGTTGTAATGCCCTCGTGACTGGGACATTGAGTAACGATGCATTTTTGAGAATCTTTTATCAGGCTACTTCTTTCGGTGTAACATTGGATTGAATAGCAAAACACGAGAAAACGTTCCACCCATTCGACTTCCGAAATACACTGATTTTTTCTATACCGAAGCAGCCGCGCAGATAGAAGCCTAAGTGCCGGGACACCGCGGATGCTATGAGGATCCCAACGAAATTTTGTAGATTCTGGATTTACGAAGTTCGACACGGTTAAGGCGGGTCTGTCTGGCAGGTATAACATGCGGCGGCATCATGGAGGAAAGCTCTGAGGAGTAAAGCCCGTTGGTGTAGAGGCAGAAGAGAGTTAGATCGCCGACGGCCGGCCGGTGCGAAAGGGTCCCGAGACTGTATGTTAGAAAAGAGTCATCGATCAGTCGGACGTCTCTCCTCTGGACAGCACCGAGCATAAAAGCTACAGTAATGTGTTTTGGAAGCATTAAACTGTACAATATTGTTGCATCCCCAAGCAGTGATAATCTCCAGCTCTCTTGTCAGACAGGAAATCGCCGCTAGTCTTCTTTTTTCCAGCTCACCGGTAGAGATCGGCTTGTTGCTCCGAATTCCTGAATGTAGAGTGCTGTCGTCAGCAAAGCTGTGGATTGAGTTCATCGTACAGGAAAGGAGGTCGTTGATATGTAAGAGGAACAATGTCCGAATCAAAAGTGATCCCTTGAGAACACCCGCGTTGGGAAGTAGAGGAGAACGACAGATATCTTGCGGCCAGAGAGAAAGTCAGTCACCCATCTGACAAGCTTACCTGGGAGGCTAGTGGGTGGACTTTTGCATAAGAGGGCAGCGTGCCACAGCTGATTGAATGCTTTCGTGATATCAAGAACAACATAAGCCTCACCATAAGACTGGATGAGGTTACTCGTGATTTATCACCTTACTTGAGTAGAAAACAGCGCTATAGGCCTGTACTTGTAAGGGTCCCTCTTAGATCTCTTTTTGGGTTGGGTTGGACAAGAGCAAATTTCCAGTTTTCTGGGAAGGTGTCGGATTCGTAAGATATCTGGAGGAGACGCGAAAGAACTGGAGCAAGCTCCACTGCACACATCTTCAGTACAACGGCAGGAATCAAGTCCGGACCAGAAGCTTTGTTGATGTCGAGCGACAAGAGCACCAGTCTTACGGTCTTAGTCCAGTCGGTATTGTCAGCGAGGAATTCAAGTAAATCATCTCGGTTATGCTCCGAGGGAGACGTTGTTCGTATAAAATTCGTCGTTTCCCTTCATTTCAGAATTACTCAAAGTGAAATACTTTTCGTTATCTAAAATAATGTTTTTCCCTTGGCAAAGTGTACCCGCATCAGTTGACGACAGCATCTTGGTATACGAAGGAGTTGCGCTTGAGAGAATTTTGGGCACTTAAGTCTTTTTCGATATTTAAGACCATTCCTCATCACTTCCAACGATATCGTACTCTTTGAAGATCTGTATTGACGAGCCAGTCTCCTTGTTGACATTCCAACTTGATTTTTTGCCATTCTCACCAATCTCTCTGTTCGCTGTGCAGTAAATGCACGTGGTATTCAACTTTTTGGGAGATTCAGACATGGTATTCCCTGCTCGCACTCCGCTATTGTTCGATATATGGTTCTGCGTGAAGTGTTTTCATTCTGGAATATTCGACAGATTTCGGCTTTAGGTACCCGCCAGATAATTAATCTTATTTCTAATTTATACGACATCTTGAGGCGAAAGCTTCAAAATAAATAAATGTCAACTGACAGTGAAGCAAGAAGAAAGATAGCATCTCCAAACGAGCATTCCAAAGATTAGACTTCCCATTTGTAATTTGAATATAGTTTGAAATTTGACCATTGTACAGTTTTTTGGAGTATTAGGATGTTAATACTATTTCAGCATAGCTTTTATATTTTTCCTTAGTCAGTCTCATCAGTGCCATAGAAACCACAACACCCCGGCATCTTGGTAACGGAACAGTTAGTAACTTTTTTCAGAAATATCGCCTACAATCGAGCCACAAATACTCAAATAATTTAAGAGAAATTAAAAATATCAGTATTAGAATAAATTAACTTGAACAACCTGCTGTACCTCTGAACCGAAGCAGTTAAAATACATACGTTCACATGAACTTTTTTGTTCGTTTTTTGAGCTCTATTATTAAATGATATATTAAATGACCGTATACACATACATAGCAAAAATAATAAGAAGGTGACAATCAAAAGCACGCCGAGCAGTGAGCGCGCGATGTGTAGTGCTGATCTCTTCCTTTTCGGTTCCATGCTATGGACGGAGAATAATAAATTTGACCACTTCAGTTGGCCCAACTATTGAAATATTAGTTTTTTTCTTATCAAACACAAATAATAAAAATATAGCAGGGTGTTTTAGGTTTAAAATATTAACAATGAATATTTTGATAATATATAGTAGAAAACACCAACGTTATCACTCGCTAATCAAATTTGCAGCATACAAATAACACATGTTGCAATTACAGCATATCAACCTATTTTCATTTCAATGCAAAATAAGTCTATAACGCATAGGTGGCTGTGAAAAATAAAAGCCATGACAATTGTTTTTATTAATCACAGCTGTCAAAATACGTTTAAAACAATTTTGGGTAGTTAAGGTTTTCAAAATGGGAAATCAAACTCAGAAATTGGAACTTTGTTAGATTTATCGCGGTACAATGTGAGAAATGTTGTTAGAAGATATAACGTAACTGGTTCAGTTAATATTAAGCCACGATATGTGAAAAGAAGTAATATCACAAATGCCGACCGAAGAGCATTAAGAAGAATAATCGTGAAAAACAGG